GAGAAAAGCACTTTTTAATCTTTTCGCACTTGCTCTGCCCGCTCAAACAGTTGCAGGATGTCGATGACAGAATTGCTCACCGCTGAGGACATCAAGAAGGCAGTGGGGGCCTTTACCGGTGAGCAGCGCGCTCCCCTCCGCATCCCTCTCCCCTCATCCACCACCCTGGCCCCTGCATCCCACGGGTCCCACGGCGGGCAAGTCTTCCCTAGCGCTCCTCTGCCCACGCATCCCGCGGGGCGCTGGCGGAGCGTGGCGGGGGGTGGTCCACCGCATTTCCAAACTCTGCCGGCGCGAGACTTGGCGCAGGGAGCGGGCGGGGAGGCCGGGAGCCCTGCTGGACAACCGAAACTTGAGGGCGCCAAAGGCAGGGTGGCCGCGCTGCGTGGACTCAGGTCCCGGACCAAGGGCGAAGACCCAGGTCGAAAGCGGGACCTCTGGGTCCTTGTGGGCGCTCGGAACTTCCTTTTTAAGGTACTTGGAGGGGACCATGGGTGCGCACGCTTCTCTCCAAGCGACCCCTCTCCGAGATCCCCGTTCTGCGCGGGACTCTTCTCGCCCAGCTGCTCGTTGCTGGCTCCCCTTAAGTCCAAGCCCCCTTTCTGGAGCTCAGAGCCCACCCCAGCAACGGACTTGCAAGCGAGCGAGGTGACCTTCCCGCAGCTGGCGCTCTGTTCTGCGCGGAGCATCCTCGGGGAAGCGCTTGCAACTTCCAGAGGGAGGGGAGCCAGCAGTCTCACCTCTCTGAGCTGCCCTGGACTTGAGCCCTTAGCTGCCTACCTTCCTCCTCCTCCTCATTACCCATATGGGGAAACTGAGGCAGGAAAAGGGCCAGAAACTTACCCAAGGTCACCTCGCAGGGCAGAAGGGGGATTAGCACTGGGGTCACCCCAGTTTTGTTCCCCTAGTGTCCAAGGTGGACAAGAGCAACTTTCCCCCACTCCAGCCCAGGCTGAGGGGAGGGGAATAGTGACTCTCAACAGGACTCCCCCCTCCCCATACACACACACATAAGTTACTCGGTATAACATTTCCTTTCCCAGGTGTTCTTAAAAAGGCACTTAAGACATAGAAAACTGGAGGGGGGGTTCCCATTTCCTTTCTGCTTGGAGCCCCCTCCAATGGGCATGAAGAAGCTTTGGGAAGCCACCTCCCAGGGCACTGTGATAACCCATCCACTTCTCCTTGACCCAACGTGCTTCCTCTGAGAAGAAACCTAACTGGGAATTCTTGGGGAGCCTTTCAACACCCGCCCCCATTTCCACCGGAATGGATTTCTGCAGCAAAGCCAGGACTTCTGGGACCTCCCCCTCCTCCTCCCACTGTGTGACCTTGAGAGAAACTTGTCCTCTCTGTGTTGACTTTCTGGCAACACAATCTACAGCCAAGAGAAAGGTCGACCCTCCCTCTCCCCTCAACATTCACGCACCATGTTCACACCACCTCAGATTCCCCTGCCCACCTGCACTGAGCCACCCACCAAAAGGCTTCATGGAAACAGGAAGCCCTTTTGCCTTCAAAGTCTACCCCCACCATTAGTGAAGGGTACAGTGGAGGGTTGGGCTGACTTAAGAGCCAGGGAGATCTGGGTGGCCTCTGCCACCTCTGGCTGAGTGACCTGGGGCTGAGCCCCCTCTCCTGGCCTGGGCTCCCTCAGCTCTCCCATGGAGGTATGCCTCTCCACCCCCTGGCCCAGGGGAGTCAATCAAAATGCTGTGCCACCTCTCCGCCTCCCCTATTCTCCCACCTCCCACCCTTCCCTAGGGCCTTTCTCTGTCCTCATTTTAACCCGTTCCTCTCCACCCCTGACAGCTGTCGACTCCTTCGACCACAAAAAGTTCTTCCAAATGGTCGGCCTGAAGAAAAAGAGCCCAGATGATGTGAGAAAGGTGTTCCACATCCTGGATAAAGACAAGAGTGGCTTCATCGAGGAGGAGGAGCTGGGGTAAACTGAGAGCTGGGGGGCTGCCCAGCCTGCGGCTCTGGGAGAGGGAGTGGTATTGGGACTCTGGCTTCCCAGCTCCCATCAATCTGCCCTTCTCTCTGCACCCATCACAGAAAATAACCCTGCCTGCCCACCGTTGCTTCCGGAAGAATAAAATTCTCAGCGCAAAGTGCAACTAACTAGGTTAAATTATAGCCACTTAATATTGCTAATGGAATGATGCTACTTAATAATTTAATACAAACCAAGAGGCAGTTTTTCTCATTGCCTGACACCACAGGCGAGACAGAGAGCACTCCCTGGAGAATTTCATTGATTTTCATTTGTCTAAAGTGCACTTTCCACCATCCTGCAAACCCACGCCCTTCTGTACCAGGGCGGCTCTAGCAGGTTCTGTGCAAGCCAGGGAGGCAGAGCCAGCTTTAGGGGTTCAGCAGTCCTGGAGTAAAGCGGAGAAGGTTATGGCCAGGAAAATGCAAAATTACATTAGCGAAGAACCTCCCGCCAGAACCCTCTCGGCCACCTGGCCCATGTCTGCCGACCCAGCTGTGTCACTCTCTGGCCAAGACTGCTTTGAATTTTGTCATAAAGAGAAGGGGTAGGGTGTGGAGAGGAGCCTTTCAAGTATGGACTTCTCCATCCACTTGTCTCTGCCCAAAAACCATCCCACGAGGGTACCCTTTGTCTAGAACTTTCTCCTTCTACCCACCTGGAACCCAATGTGCACGTGCACTTGTGTGCATGCGCGCACACACACATGCAGAGGCTGACTTCTACCTATCCTCCAGGTATCACCTTCTCCAGGAAGCCTCCCCTGACTGTTCCCCTCCCCTCAGTGGGATGGATAAATCCTTGAGCACCGCTCTGTACTTCCCCATCATTGCATCCATCACACAGTGTGCTCTCTCTTGCAGAACTTGACGCCTTCCCTGTTTTTTCATGTGGCTTCCTAAGATCATCTCTGTGCCCCTGGTTTTCAGCATGGCCCTGGCACAGAGAAGACACTTTTGTGTTTGTTGTGTTGTCTGAATAAACAAACAAATGCAGGTGCCCTAACTGATGTGAAGGCAACCCTTCACTGAGGACAGCCTGTCCTTCCCTGCACACCCACCCACGAAGCACAGCCATGTCCTGGCTGCCTGGCCAAGCACAACTGCATGCATGCTCCCTGCTCGCTGCCTGTCCCAGCTGCCTGCTTCCCCTGTGCAGACTGCAGCCCACCATCCAGCCGGTGTTCCTGCAAGGTGACCTTGACCTGACTCCCTTCCCGGCTTTCTCCCTTTTCTCCTCCAGATTCATTCTGAAAGGCTTCTCCCCAGATGCCAGAGACCTGTCTGTTAAAGAAACCAAGACGCTGCTGGCCGCTGGAGACAAGGATGGGGACGGCAAGATTGGGGCCGATGGTGAGTAGCTGTGACCTGGGCACATTGTGGATCTCAGGATCTTTGGATGCTTAAAGCTTATAGCTATGCCCATCACGTGAAGGGGAGAAGGGGAGTCCCACACTCCCCAACATTAGAAGGAAAAAAGGCAATCCATTAGGTCTGAGAGCTCTATCATATAAGCCAGGCAAAGAAAAACTGATATATTTTTTCTAGATTTGTGGGAGGGGATGAGCTATTTGTCCCCCTACTCTGCTATCCTGGCACTGCTCCAGTTTTTCTGGATTTGAACAACTCAAAAGGAATCGATTATTTTCTTTATTTTCTTTCTCCTGCTGTGTAAGGAATCCAGGAGAATTTGGATTTTCCCTGAACTTTGCCTGGGTTCTGGCCCTGCTCTGCCTAAACCAGCTGTGTGACCTTGGGCAGCCTATCTCCTGCGTGGGGCCTCAGTCTCCCATCTGCAACCCGAGGAGATGAGACAAACTGATCCCCTCAAGGACCCAACTGGCTCTCATGTTCTCAGATTCCAGGGATGGAAATTCCTTATCTCCTGTCCTCCTCCGCATCTTGTCCTCGTGTCTTGTAACTTCAAGTCTCAAAACCTGTTTTGGTTTCACCCAAATATATACCATTCCAGCACTGTAGGAGAGCCGGGAGAAACAGCCAGGCAGGGATCAGCTGGGAATTACGAAAAGGAACATCTGACCTGATCTTGCTTTTCAAATTTTGCTTTTAGGAAAGGTGAGGGGCTGGTGGTCACCATCCCACATCCTTTTCCCTTCAGATCTAACCAGCGTTCAAGGAACACATCCCAGCATCATTATCTTTCTTAGCATCACACCAGCCTCGGGGATTATCTCCATTTTGCAGATGGGCAAACTGAGGTTGAAGGTGCTTGGCCTGCTCAGAGAGCTAGGACATAAGTGGGGGAGCAGCGATGTAGAAACAGGTCTGAATATCTCTTTCCAACTTTCCATTATTCCAACATCTGTGCCCTTGTGATAGTCCTTCCTGCCAATTTCAAAGGAAACTGTGTGTAAGTGCTTAGCCTCTGGGCTCATGTTGTCTGGGTTCAAATCCCAACCCAGCTTCTTTCTAGCTGTGTGATTTGGGGCAACTCAAGTGACTACTCTGGGCCCTAGTTTTGTCATCTCTGAACTGAGGATAATAGTTTTTATCTCCTAGGATTGTGAGAGGATTAGATGCATTCATATATGATGTGTTTAGAAGTGTCTGGCACAGAGGAAGTGCTATCTACCAGTCTGTTAACTAATTTTTTAAAATAAGGACAAGATTGTATTCATCCTTTTATCCCCAGTACGTAGCCCATACGTGACCCAAAGCAGGCAAGGAATAAACATCTGTTGCCTGGGTTTAAAGTGTAGGCCCTGGTGCTCTGCTGGCTGTCTGCCCTTCACCGGCTGTCTGACCTTCACTCCATCACCTCTCCACACCTACATTCCTGTGTCTGACACATGGGGTGCACAGTTTTCTCCTAAGACCTGCTTGGGCTCGTTGTGAAAATTAAGTGACTTTAGACGGAAAATTGCCTTGGGAAAGGTACAAGGATTCTGAATGTGGGCACAGGCTACTAAAGTTTTGTGCCAGAAATGAGGATGGAGACAATCTAGCAAGGTCAGGTGCAATGAGTCGCCTAGCCTCCTGATGCCTACTGCCCATCTTGTGGCTGGGAAGGAGGGAGGTGGTTTTAAAGGAGCCAGAGCAGAGGGTGCTGGAGAGAAACGGGTGGCCGGTCTAGGTGATTCCAGTGAGTGGTACCCTCCCCACCTTCACTGTGTCACTTATCAGACCGTTCCTCCCCTGGGCCCGGTTCCTGCCATGACCCCAATCCAGGCCTCCCATTTTTATTTGCAATATGCTGCAGCTCAGAAGCCCTAGGCAGGGTCTTCATGGCTGGCTGCCTGCAAGGAACCTTCATGATAAAGAAAAACCAGGCCAGATCCTGGACTGCTTCCCTGCCTCCATCCCTCCCTGCCCAACTCAGATCTTAAAGAGCTAAGTCAACTCTTCCAACAGACCCAACAGACATTTGCCGAGTAGCAGTGGGGGAGGCAGAGGTATCAGGCCCAGTTCCCGGAGGAGCCACTTCCTGGCTGGGTGCCTCGGAGCCCCAATTTCCTCATCTATAAACTGGGCGTGGCAACACTGGGGTTTTGTGAGGATTCCAAGACACAATGTACAGTAGGGTTGAGTGCAGTGCCCTGCACACCGTAAGTGCTCAGTAAAGAGGGGCTGCAGATAGAATTTCTATTCTATCTGCATGATGCCTCCAGCTCTATGATACACACACAGACACATGGCAGTATCAGGCAGAGGCCGGGAGGTGCAGACGAGCTCTGCGGAGACGGAGACAGCAGGCACTTACGGGGATCTGGGGACCGTGGGCAGGGCTGCTGCAGGCTAGGAGGGCAAGTGGAGGGAGGTCCAGGCAAGGCCTTGGTATCAATCAGCAAAGGCACTGAGGCTGGAAAAGGGGCAAGAATACTGGTTTGCTGAGGGTGGGAGGGGAGAGAGAATGATCATCAGGGTGAGTAACGTGTGCCAGGCCCAACGCTGGACTCTGCTCAAACGTCACCTCACTTTACCTCGGGATGACAGAGGACATAGGTCCAGATGCAGAAAGAGTGACTCCAGTGCCCAAGGTGACACGGAGTTCAAAGCCAGGTCTGTCTGCCAGCGTAGCCAGGCTCAGGCCGACCTGGTGAAGGTCTGGGAGTCAGGGCAGCACGGACGAGTCGGGGCCAGAGATGGAGCGGGCAGTGAGAACAGACCGCCCACAAGCTCGTGCTTTTGAGGTGGGAAGATGCAGATGCCCCCCTCCCAACTTCTCCCCCCAAACACAGTACTTTGTTTTAGAGGAGGACAAGAAAGACGGGTGTGATGGTGCCCGATAGGCAGTGAGATGGGGGGAGAGCCCTTTGAGGGCCCAGAATTTTCTATCTTAGGCACTCTGCTTTGCTGCCTACTCGCTCTGAAGTCCAAAGGGTCTGAGCCCTGCCCACTGTCTGGAGGATGACTTCAGCTCTGGGTGGGATTTGGGGCAAGCCATAGAAGCCCTCTGACCTTCAGGCACCAGCTCTTCAAAATCAGGGCTCAGATCACTGGCCAGTCACTGGGGTGCCTTCCAGCTCTGGGACTCCCCAGGTGCCCTAGTGCATACACCTCTAGATGGAGGACCAGGCTGGCACTTAGGCTGAGCTGTGTGACTTGGAGTAATGATGGCAATGACATCTGACTTCATGGAGCCCTCACTGTGCACCAGGCGCTGTGCTGAGCATGTCACTATCTTTGAGGCTGTATTACTATCTGCATTTTATAGATGGAGGACACTGAGGCTCCGAGAGGCCAAGGGTTTGCCTAAACTCCCATCCCTAGGGAAAGACAAGGTCAAGAGCTGGGCTCAGGTCTGTCTGGATCCAATGCACATGCCCTGTGCTGCCTGCTTCATTCATTCATCCATTCATTCAAAGTCTAGTGAGTATCCATCATAGGTAATTTTATTTAGTGACTTACTGCTTGCTTCTCTCTCTCCCACTGGGGTAGATGTCAGCTCCACAAAAGCAGGAACTTTGTTTTGTTCAGTTCTGACTCCAGCACCTAGAACAGGTCCTGGCACATAGTAGAGGCACAAAAAAAGTTTGTGGAATGACTGAATGAATATGTGTCCAGCTCTGGGGATGCAGTGATGAGGAAGTGTGGTGTATAGGGAGAGGTCCATAGGCAAAGGATGGAGACCTGTTTGAGCTGGGGGCTTGCCTGTAGCAGGCACTGGGGGGGATTCTAGAACCAGGGGTACTGCCTCCATCTCTAGCTGTTTGCCCTTCTGAAGGTGGGTGACATGTACCAGGTCCTTTAGGATTGCAGATTGAAGGGAGTGGGTAGAAAGACAAAGTTTTAATAATAACCCTTTGCTTACCTATCTCTGGGCAACTACTTCCAGGAAGCTCAAAGACTCTTATAGACATGGTCAATTAATTCTCAAAGGACACCCCTGGAAGACTGGTACAGAGCTGGTAAAGGGGGGTAGGGGGAGGTAGAGGCAGACAAGGAGAAAGAAGATGGACAGAGGCGGAAGGCGCCCCCAAACCCAGCCGCAGTGGCAAAACCCAGGCACAAGTAACAGGCAAGACTAGTAAGTGGCAGGTTCCTTCTCAAATACTTGTCCGTCCCCGAGGTGGGTCTCAGACAGGACCTGGCATCAGAATCACAGGGGGCTTTTCACAACACAGATGCTCAGGCCCCATCCCGAGAGTTTCTGATTCCTTAGGTCCAGGTGGGGCCCAAGCGTTTGCATTTCTACTAAGTTCCCATGTGGAGCTGATGGTCCAGGGACCACACTTTGAGAACCACTGCCCTACATTCATCCTAGAAAGGAGGTCCCATCACTCTTCCCGTTTACAGATGAGGAAACTGAGTGGTTAAGTAACATGCCCAGGGTCCCTCAGCAGCAGAGCCAAAACTGAGGCTCGGAGGTCTAGGTAGGACCGTTTGCCACCCTGATGTGTCCCCAGCCCGGGTTCTCCACACCTAATACCTGCCCACGTGGACCGTGCACGGCGATGGGAACAGGGGGTACCATCCATGCGGCACTTCCTTGAGTCCTCACAACAGCATCGCAAGATACACCTTCACTGCACAGACAAGGAAACTGAGGCCCAGGGCAGTGGCATGACTTGCTCAGGGTCTCACAGCTATTCAGCACTGGGGCCTTGCTTCAAACCTTGACAGTCTACCTCCAAATAGCTCTCTTTTCCCTGCCAGGCTGTAGATGAGAGCTGCACGCCCGTATACACACGCACACGCATGCAATCCTAGTTACAGTTTCCCTGAAACCTGATCCCAGTGGCAGATCCAATTTCCTATGCTTCAAGCCTGTTCCAACTCAAGAGCTCGTGCTTGGCTTTTGCTTCTGTTGCTGAAAAATTCAGTCATAATAATTGCCTGCCCCTTGCAGTTGATGGCATGTGCCTGAAGGTATTTGCCTTTTCTGCTTCCTT